AGGACATGTGGAACATCATTTTTCTGTACAGCCTGAACACCTGTGAGAGTTGTGAGTATTTTTTAAATATTTGTGAAGTATGGGGATTTATCCACAGACGTCATATAAATTTATCACTGCTGTCTATGGGAATTTATTTCTAGTGGTGCACCTGCAAGGGTCAATGAACGAACGATGATTGAATTATGGGGATGGCTGAAGTCTGCAGGGGCCAATTTCACTGGAAAAAAACTGCTTAATAAACAAAGGTTACCTGCTCAAACTCTATCTGATTGTCATGCTAACCAAAAAACCAGCTAAATACAATCCCAAGACAATATACATCACATGGAATTTTGGCTGGTTACCTTATTTATCAAGTAAGGTTTTTTCGCGCTTAAGCAAATTTTGTGCTATGAGCAGCTTTATGAAATTGGCCCGGCTGGACGCCACGGCTCTTTCTCGACTTCAGTGGCTTCATCCGCCCTTTCGAATATTCGAATACGGGCAATTTTAACACGGCCAGTTCTAACACGGACATTTTTTTTGCAGTCCATCCGGTTCGCCACGATTTGCAGGCTCCCATAGAGGGGTCCCAACAGAGGGATTTCACTTTAACACCGTCTGCGCAATATCTGCATCGAAACCGAGGCTCCCTGTGTTGAACTTCCTCGCGCGCGCCCGCAGAGTCAACACGGGTAAATTGAGTATCCGGTTCGTAAGTGTGACGCCACTTCAGTTTAAACCACGCCCACTGCACAAGATACTCGACCATCGCAGGTACGTTAGTTGCGGTCAATTGTCGTTATTTTTTCTTTTGATTTTACGAGTCGAGCCACAAAAATTTGCAGTCTGAAATGTCTGAATTTAACATACCTTTATGTATTTTGTGTCTTAACTCCTTACTTTCAATCGTCTGATCGTATTAAGAATTGAAGCTGACACATACAGCCTCGTTTTCCCGCCATCCTTTTTCACAGCTCCCTGTCCCCGCCACTCACCTCGCTCTACCACATCGTAGCCGTATGGTGGCCCTGAGGGGACACGAAAATTCACGACTTGTCGCGAATTATTTGTATGACGTCGTGGATATTTTTTCGTAGACTGGTGGCCAGTCTACGTGTACCTCCGTACCTCAGGGGGACGAATAGGAGGTAGTCCAATAGACTGGCCTCAAGTCTGGATATACCTAGCGCAGTGCGCACTACCGAGGTCGTACGCAGGCGTAAAACTTATACACGTACCTGGAAGAATTCAGACTTGGTAAGGATACATGATAAAAATAGTTAAAAACAGATGGTGATATTTCACACTATAAATTGGGTGGGCTTATGTGCTCTCTAAACACACCCAGAGTTACTCACAGTAAACAAAAAAGTCGGAAAATTGCTTGCATGTTCCATCTCAGGTGGAAACTAGCTTATTTATTACCTTTTTGCCTCTGGAAAACCGTTTGGGAAATCAGCTTATCAAAATATGCTGACATAAATTCAAATAAAATATTACATCTACAAGATGACTGCTACTACAGGTATGTGCAGCTGTTAACGGAGTTAGCTCAAAAAAACCAGACCATAAAAGGCAATGTAAATTCCACCCAATTCCCATTCGTCAGACTAGTTTGATACAAAATATTTCATCAAAACTAATGTCAAAAATTACAAAGCTCTTTGGACATTTTGTGCACTATTCTCACCTTTTCACACGTCTTCTTAATTGTGTAACAGCATTAACAAAATAGCATAAACTCGTTACTTGGCTACTTCCTGAAAACAAACCTACATTCAACTCATAATTTGAAGAGATTTGCTATCAAATGTAGCCATTTATGATTAAAGTACTATAACCCATAAAGAACCTCACATCACTTGCAAAAGATTTGACCGAAAAGAAGAGTTTGGAGTCTCTGTTTTGCATTATGTGGGAAAACTCCTAGGGCCTAACCCCAAAACTGTGTTCAAGCTAATACAACTCAACCTATCATGCAAAATCTATATCGCTCTACTGAACAATTAATACACATGTAAAAACTTTTTGTCCCAATTTATTAAATCTTACTTTGGCACTTCCTGTTCAAAATGAGTGCGCACAACACAAATTTATTCACAATTATCCCAACCAAATATTTTTGGCTAAGAAAATTTAGAGCCCAAAAAATTTAAAGAAACAAAGTTGTTCAAATGTTTTTTTCAGTGTAAGGGGAAACAATTGTTTGGTTGGGCCTAATGATACAGTATGAGAGTCAAGGCACAGGACTCATTTTCAAATGAGAAAATTCACTACATACAGGCTGAGTGCATATCCCTATGTTCCTACTGGCTGAGACCATCCATACACATTCAGCTGTTTGCTTACACAATTAAACATACATGTAGTGTGCATGAATATATACTTGCCTGGTTGCCTGGGTGTAAATCGGGGGGGGGGGGCTATTGAATAATGCCCCCACTTTTTTGAAATGAGCAAAAACAATGAAGCAGATTGTGAAGAATTTTTCAATTACTGATGTTCGCCAAATTACTAAAGAGGGAAAGCAATTTGTAACCTGCTCTGCAAAAAAGGGTAATAAGTCGGGCAATTCCAAAATATGTTATGGCCCGTTCTATTTGGAGAGGGCAAAATGTCTTCAAAATGTGATTTTGTGTTTTTTCCTCTATTAGCTTCTATAACATTTGTTTTTTTTCAGAATTTGTGACTACAAACATGGATACTGAAGAATAACGATGAAAAATTGATCATTCAGTGGCATTTCAGTGGGAAATGCTACATAGTGTTGTGTTTCCCAGTGCTACACTTTCTGAGCTTTTTCTCGAAAAGTGCTTTTATAGAATCCGAAAATCTGGATATACAAATGTCTAAGTATCCCTGGAATGCAGTGCACTACAGAGGTCATTCATAAATCAAATTGTAGCTTTTGATGTACTCAATCCAGCCATATCAAAAACTAATAACCTGAATCTGGCGACTTATTACCCATTTTTCTAGAGCCGGTCACATTTTAAAAAGCCATAAATATATCATTCTGATGTAAGATTCTGCCTGAATTTGATACACATTACAGATGTATATCTTCATCATGAACACCGCCCCCTACACATTGTATATATTGTCCCCCACTTTTCAAATTTCCATGGCCAGGCAAGTCATCCCCCCCCAACATTTCTCCATCCCAATTCCCCTCCCCCCAGTTTCCAACATAGATTTACTCCACTACGTGGCAAAGCACTCATAGATAGTCCATCCAGTTTCTCTGTCATCAATGGCGAGGTTCTCCAGTACCGAACCCAAACCCTTCTAGCCTGCAAGGAGACGTTGGACAATTGACCTGTACACTTCTGTGAATTTACTGAAGATAACTCGCAAAATAAGTCAGTACTATTGGCTTTAACCTTGGGAACAACATCTCAGCCCACTATTTACACATAATTTACATAGGTCCACCGGCGAGTGACGAACTGCTGGCATCAGCCTTCCTGCTGCAAGAAAGGGTTTGCTATCTGCTCCATGCCATCCTCGGGGCAAATGAGAACCAACGATGTCCCCCTACAGACCACCAGGCCAAGGTCCCTGGTGTCCTCTGTGATTTTGTAGGGATCATCTGGGTCTGGAAGTAGACATGCGATATGTGAATGCACAAGATATCTGCGATTGAATCTCATTTCCGCAGTGCTCCGACTGACTAGCATGCAGGCTCCAACAAAATTTGTATGCACATTAAGTTCAAAGTCAGACAGTTGTTTGAATGGGCTTCATTAAATTTACGTTACTGACAATTCTTTCACATGGCAGCCTGCTTGATTGTTTAAAAGGAATTTAACCAAAATCCTGATCTTTGGTATTTCTTTAACCACTTGCTGCCGGGGAACCCCATTTCGAGCACCATGGATTTATATGCAGAGCCAGGGTCCCCGAAATGGGACAAAAGAGCTGGTCTGTGTAACAAAAGACCTTACTCAGAACAAAAGACCTGCTGCTGGGAATCGCCATCCTTTTTCGGCTTGCATTTTTCGAAGGTAATCCGTCACTTTTTTAAACAGTATACCGCTGTTTTGGGCATAACGTGCACTGTGGACAAAAGTGCTCCAGGGCCCCATCGACGAGTGACACAGCACTGCTGCATGCTAATCCAGCCGCGTTTGAAAAAATGCCACTCGCAATCCCTGGGAACAAAGGAAATTATGCAACACCTCACAATTCTGGGCTCTCTTTACAGGGCAGCAAGCCTGGCTGAAATATTCAGGAGTAAATGAAGGTTACTTGATAGCTTAGAGTAGCCACCAAATAGTCGTTCGTGTGGGTGTAACTGTCCATTAAATGAAATGATGAATTTTTAAAGAATTATGGAAACTGAAAATCTTGAAAATCGCCCATATATGTGCACTGCATTTTAAAAGAACCCCACAGCATGTGGTTAAAGTGTGAGCAAATCCTGATATAAGGAATTTGGGAAGTCGGATGGAGTGTATTTCTTTAAAGTGATGCATTTAGAAAAACACATATTTAATTATTTGTTCTAAAGTAGTTACATGTATTTACCTCTCTGAAACTCAGTTGTCCCATCCAGCACAAGATTCAGAAGTGGGTCAAATCCCTTGAGAATTCCAGTCACTGAAAAGGATATAAAACAGCTGTTTGTGATCAACTGGACTAGAAATCTGTAATTTATTCGGGTTTCAATGCTGCGAGTTCCACGTCATAAAGAATAAAACTCATTACTCATAATAAGCCCCTCCAGTTTTCATGTATGTGCACAACTGCACGTATTGAGCATGCATAGTGGCCTCGGCTTTGCCTCGGGGTGCTATGCATCCCCAGGTGTTCAAAATGTCACATCCCACACCACAGCAGTCAACAATTGTTAATTATTACCTTCCCTTCCGCCTTGGAATTTTACCCTGGTGGGCTTGTCAATGTACTTGGATAAATCCAAGATGCTCTCCTTCTTCTTCTTTTCTTGTTGCTGTACAAAATACAGAAATTTAGGAATAACCAAAGAAAAGCCGGAAATATTCATTGATACAGCCATTAGTGAATTTATATTGTGTACTAGGGGTTCATTCCAACACATAAACCAGTCCCTCATTTTCCCATTTTGTTCATATTTCATTTGCAAGTCCACTGCATAATATTCAACATTTATATATGCGCATGCGTTTGAATTTAGGCCCTACTCAGTGAAAAGTTCAACAAATCTTTTTCATTTGTGAAAGTTCAGAAGACTTATCAGAGGAGAACAAATTCATGACAACAATGTTGCGTAACATTTGGCAAATGGTGCTCGCGGTTGTTATTGTTGTAGACAGTTTTTTTCCCTCCAACTTTCTTCACTTACTTGTGCAAGGGCACTAAACTCAACATGGTGACGGAACATGAAATAGGCTTTTAGGCCTACTTAGGGTTGCAGGCCAATGAATACGTTCATAATTGCCTGCGCAGACCGAATCATGATTTGCAGGCTGTCGAATTCTCTGCCATTTATTTTGTGGCACATGGACTGGTCGGTTTGTTACAAAGGTGGATGAAATCCAGGGGCAGGACTACAATCTTGTATTTCTTAAAGTATTGGACCAAATGGGGCCCTCCGTGAATTGTTCTATTCTGCAATGGAGTGTAGGTATCAATTTTCAAAAAGGCGATGGGCCTCATGACTGTATGAGGGGTGATTTTCTCTGGAGAGAAATATCTTCATAAGTCATCAGCTTAAGCCACTGTCTCTGAAAATTGAAAGGAAAATGGACGATGAGGAAGTGAGCTTTATTTGATATGTGTCTCGAACACCTGAGAAAGTTGTATTTTTCTTGATTTTTGGAAGTGAGGATATTTATCACTGTTTGACTGTTGTACCGGCAGCTTATAACGTTTGGCACCTGTATATTGAGGGCGCTGTTTTCAGTTTTACACAATGAAGGTTTGTTTCAGAGAGCCCTGTAAGCTGCCACCATCAAGGCACGTAGGCGATCTTGTTGCAACACAAACTGTCCAAATTAATATCAGCAGCAAACAAAATTTTCACAGTAAAACCTTCCAGCCTGACATACCCAATTTAACACAGCTTTACATGAAATTTTCTTTTGATTTTTTTACTTTTAAATGGATAAAACCCACCACTCACCGCCATATCGTCCGAAAAGACATGCACGTGCGCTTGAGTAAAGAATACATGCAATACAGGGGGAGCATTACGGAGGCTGAGAAGACACATCCGACAACTGTTAATGGGGCCCACAAGTTAATAGAGCCGGAAAGTTAAAGGTTACGCGGCAAGCTTCCGGAACCCTCGATCGCGCGGTCCGCCTAAAGGGATTTTTTACATTTGGCCAGTCGGTGTGACGTCACTATGGACTTTTAACACACGACAAACGGGTAAATTTACCCTCCGTGCCATCCAATAATGTACAGAAGTTCCCAGATGTCCGAACGCGAGAATCATGTTCATAATTTTTGGAAGAATAATTCCTTATTAAAACCACCCATGAAACACTAATGTTGGAATTTTACCTTTGTCTTCCCCAAGTAATATTTAGGAAAAGTCACCTGGAGATGGGTGAAAAAAAAAACGAATTTCTACCTTTCACGTCCGGTGATATCGTACATACTAGTACTTAGGTCTCTTTGTTCATGTACGTTTGTTTTCACTGCCAGTACCGTGCTTACGTGAAAACGAGATTGTACAATGTTGCAAAGATTTGCCTACCTGCAGTCGATAAGTTCCAGATTCCGTCATTTTCGAGTTAACATCACGCAGTAAATTGTTGTCAGTAAAGGTTATATAAAATATAAGAATCTTAAGTTCGCAACAGTAGATTATTGCTTTAGCTTTATTATCTTATAAATTAACAACATCTGTTAATATTTTGGTCTGTTTTTAGTTCGGCTTTTACCGACACAGTGCCATAAAATTTCAAACCGTAAATGTTTATCTGCGTACGAGACCGCCGCATTGGATAAGTTAGGTTAGGTAATTTGTCATTTTCCCTAAACTGATATACTAGAAAGTATTTTCCAAAGCCCCTTTTCCCAGTTTGATTTTTGAAACGTAACAGAAGGAAAAAATATTATAAATTCTAAAATCTTTGCATGTAGTTTTCCCTATCCAAGGGTTCCGGAAGCACGCCATCAGTGGTCAACTTCGGGCTCTATTGTGACTGACCATGATATTACTAAATACCAGAATTTAGAATGTGCTTTAGAGTTCAAAATTCTTACTTTCTCTTTTTCACAAAATAATAATGAAAATAGTTAGTTTAGCCAGACGTCTGGTAACTTTACCTTTACGCCATCCTAGAACATTTGGTTGTGAGACTGCACTGGCAAGGAAGCTATTCCAAAGAGTCATATAGCATGTGAGCCTACTGATGACGTTTTAATTGTAAGAACCAATGCAAGTTGCCAGAGCTTGTGCAAGTGCAGTCTCTTCTAAACCATCTATACAAAGATACATATATTAAATTGCTAAAGGACAGAGAAAAGAATGTTTGCTTTTTTTGGTTCAGTCCCATGAAAATGTCTTTGGAGGAAGACCGTCGACACACTGGCGCAAATCTGAGCTGAAAGGGGGGGGGTGTGATGGAGAAAGATGGGGCCTGACTTGCCTGGCCGTGAAAATTTTAAAAGTGGGGGGGGGACCATATACACTATATAGGGGGCGATATTTATGATAAAGATGTACATGTACATCTCTAATGTATATCGAATTCATGCAGAATCTTACATCAGAATGGCATTTTATGGTTTTATAAAATTGTTTTCCCTCTTTATTGATATTGCAAACATTTAAGTTTTTGGGAAGTCCTAAAAGTTCTTCACAATCCGCTTAAATTTTTTGCTCACCACAAAAAGTGGGGCAATGACTCAATAGCCCATCCCCCTTCCTTAAAAGTGGGCGGGGAATATATACCTCCCACCCCCGGGATTTACGACCATGCCGGTTGACAATGAGTCCCAGCTGTAACATTTTCCGTCTTCTCGTGGGCGAACCTTTTTGCTATAACTTTCCAAAATAGGAACCGACATAAATGAACAAATGCTGCCCCAAGCAGTTTTTTCCCGGGAATGTGTCACCATTGTCTTTTTCCGGGCAATAATGCAGTTCTCGTATGTCTTCTTAGTTTCTGTTTCTAGTGCAGGGGGGCGGATGGAGAGGGTAAAAATTAACGATGATGACTGTTGATTACCCCCGAAGTGGGTGGTGCAGTCCTCCTGTCCTCCGTTTCTGTCAGACTGCGTCCTCAACTTCATACCCATCTTTGTTGATATTATGCGAACAGTACTTCTAATTTAGTGAAATTTAACTCGCATCTTTAAAACCTTGTTCTTCGCAGCCAACCTTCAAGAAAAAAATTAAACGCACACTCGAATCGGTTTTCATTACGCCAAGGGTGGATGGGAGACAAACGGCAGAGCCATTTTGTTCACGAAATTGTTTCTGAGCAGCTGCTTAATTTGTGACAGGTGCAAGCAGTTTCGGCAGCGTATCAGTCATGCAAAGTGCAGTGGCAGAATCCAACTGCTCTAACAGTAGATAACTCAAGTGCAAAACCGAGAGGCTGATATGCAAGCAAAAAATGGGACAGCACAAAAATTCAAATGGAAAATCGCAGGACAGAAAATTCCAATGTGAAATTTACTCTTCTTCGTCGTAAGTACATAACCAGGACGGTGAAAATAAATGATAAAATCGTCTAAATTAATACAGTGCAGCAAACATATACGTGTAGTACCAAATAAGTTATGTCGTACTTGTATCTTCATGGCAAACTTTAAACCACAGCGGGACAAAAATGCCAGTTGGCAACAGTCAAAGGAAACCCTGTTGTTGCGCTAGCGTCAACTTTAATTTGAAGATATTCCCACTGGCTAATTTCTTGACTCCCCTTAACCACTTAGGCTGACAATTTCAGACATTCTAAATGGTATTTCCAGGAGACTGCGGCACATAATGTGGGGACGATTCCATGCCCATTACCCAGTCAGAATGTGGCGCCGGGGGATAAACCCTTCATCCCCAAAGGACACACTCTGAACATTCTGACATTCGCGGCGAGTACTCATCTGTGGTCGTAATCAGTCATCCGTTTTTCGTGGATACTTAACCCGCCTTGGTAATGATTACGTAGGCGTTTCTACCATGACTTGTCGATCAGTAAAGGCTACAGGTCCTGGTCAGCACGTGACGCGTGTGATACGTGAGCACATTATTTCCTGTAGAATCCCGACCAATAAAGTCCATTGTGGTATGCGCCATGTCGGTGCTACTGCACTGCTGATTGTGTCGTCATATGGCGTCTCCTTATGAGAATATCTCAAAAGAGAATGATTGTGATCCATCAACAGTAATAATTTTAAATGACAATGATAGTCATCGATCGAATATGCCTTAATCAACTGGTGTGTTTACTTCGCCGTGCCAGTGTGGTGTGTGCCTGATGTTACCGTTCAGCGACTTCTGTTTTTGAACTGCTATACCCATCACAGTCGAAACCGGGTGAAGTTTCTGGCAGACTCCACTGTTTATTTGGTATGGTCAGAGTTCTGAACCTTCTCGTTTATCATGGGTAATGAGACGGCTGGAGTCTTGGTTGGGAACGCCTGCACCGCAGCCATCAATGCTTCCCTACCGATTCAGAGGTTAGATGTGCAGTGTTCTCCACCGGCACCACCCTTCCTACTCGTTGTCGAATTCTGTCTCCTGGCACTGCTCTTGCTGGGCAATGCTATGGTTTGTCTGATCGTTCATCGCAACCACACCCTCCGAAACAAAGCCAACGTCTTCGTGGCCATTTTGGCTGGTGTCAATTTGACCTTCGGTTTTTTCACCACGTCGCTGAACTTGTCCGCCTTTATCGTGAACTGGCATCTCCTCCCAGTTTGGTGCACTTTCGGCGGCGCCATCAACACCGTCTTCCCATCAGCGTCCAACATTACCCTCTGCTTCGTCGGCATCGATCGCCTGGTCTTCATCCGCAGACCAAAACGTTACCGGGGCATCTGTAAACTTCCCTGTTTTATCATTGGAGTGACCTACATCGGTGTTCACGCCTTGTTGTTTGCGACTCTGCCCCCGCTGTGGGGATGGGGTCGCTATACCAACAACCCGGTCCTCCGGATCTGTGTTCTAGACTTCTCAACTAGCTACACCTTCGGTTACATCGCTTTGCTTTACGGCTACGTGCTGCCAACCTCCATCTTGCTAGCATGTTACTGCAGCGTGTACCGAGCAGTGAGGCGGCAGGTCCTAAGAGTTCGCTCTGAGGGCCTGACCTTCTCCCTCAGGACGTTGACTGTCCGCCACCGCGTACTGCGAGACACGAGGCAGGGCTTCCGACGAACAGCTAGAACCCTGATCCTTATGATCTTGCTGCACATTATCTGCTGGATACCGTTTCTGGTCGTGCACTTCGTCGGTCTTCAGTCCTCTACTTCGAGGTCTCCCGACCCGGTCGCCGTCTGTGTCAGCTGGATGTTCATTCTGGCCGATTTGTCAATTCAACCCTGGACGTACGGCATGTACAACCACACTTTCCGTCAACATGTCTGGAGAGCATTTACCTGTTGTCATTTGGAAAAGCGGACATTGTGCCTTCAGTTGTTCAAAAACAAACCCCGTAAATATCAAGTCAGCCCATTTACAGAGTAACATTTGCATGTACCTGTATCTATATCAAAATATGGTAGGCCATCAAGATTAACTTGTATATACGCAGCTGCGAGGACACTGAAGTAAGACCCAAGTTAGCAAAACTGTGATAATGGGATTGTGCTAGTTCTACAGCCTTGCAAGTTATACATGTACGTAATCGAGTGTTTTCTGTCTTGAAACGCCGAAAAACTGAAGAAAATTACACATAGTAATAGCGCACTGCGAGATAATAAATGGACGATTTCTGAAATAAAGGCAAACGGAGAAAATGCATGACAGGAACGGCGTTTTATACTCGACTATGGCTAAATTCTATCGACCTATTTACGAATTCAAACTTTGGTGACCAAGTAACCAGGTCCTTTACGGCGGAACCAAGTGCTACCAAAAAGTAATAAACAGGTTTACACAACACCTGAATAAACCCCATTTAGTAATTGGTGGGTCGTCGAGTCGGCGACCACGTGACAACGCACGGTGCGGCCTCAACGCAAAAACAAAGTTCTATTCCTACGATAATGTTCCCTTCCACGGTAACGTCCTATTCCTAAGTAAAAAGAAATGTTCTAAATTCGCAAAGATGCAGGGATTTATTCGAGCTTGGATTATTCAGGCGACGCAGGCGTGTTTCAGGATTATTTAGGCGTTGTAATACAGAAACGTCTCACATTCTTGCTGGAAAAAATTCTTTTTTTTGTTCTTGCAGTTTATCTGTTACTTCATGACAGTTTCTCTCACCATATAGTTATTCACCATTTGTGTAATAAACAAAAGGCAAAACACTGTGAAAGCAGTGTGTCCATGCTCTGCTTAACATCTCATTGGATGACTTTTTTCTTGTTAACAAAATGGAAGCTCGGGGAAGAGCAAGCGCATTTTTTTGGACAAAACAAATGTCTCGTGAAAATGTATTGTAACATATCGTTTTTGTGTTCCTACCACTTCAGAAACTTTCGCTTCAAATGCTTCCAATGATAAGAAGAGCAACACCTACTGAACGTTTGCAGTGAAGCAATTTCTAGCACCATTTCACGCTGAGGCATAAATCCGTGCCGGCGAGTTGGAAGCGGGGATTTGGGGTGACAAAATACAAACAGCCAATACCCCGGACTAGAGAAGCGCTGGGGCACTGGTTTGGGTCAGTTACGTAATCATGGGGGGAGGCTACATACTGGGGGCATTCCCCAAAATTTTGACAAAACGTATGTATATGCCGTACCGGTATTTATTTTTCTTTCAGAGCCCCCTTCAAAATGCTTGCATCCCTGGGTGACCCCTTGGAAATTTCACTCTTGTTACACTACTACTACTACTACAGTTCGTTGTTTCAATCCAAATACATGTATCAAGAGAAACCATCAATTCAGAGTCTCTACAGTACGCGTCATCTCGCCATTATTCTCACTTCAGTCACCAACGTCATCGAATCTTGCGTTAGACGTGCATCATTTGATGATTTGAAGCTGTTCGATCAGGTAGAAAAGTTTAATTTCTGCAGGAAACCCTAACGGGATGAGATTCCTCGCTCAAGAAAGGTCACGATGCTTGAACGTTTTGATAGGCCCACCAAAGGTTCCACTAAAACTGATTTGCGGTAGCTTTGTCAAATTTTATTTTTGACTTCTCCGGATAAGAAAAGACTATAAAACACGAAAAATTTATGTTTAAAAGAAAGAAGTTGTTTTTCCGAAATTACAAATCTGTGATGGAACTTGACATTTGCGGAAATGTTAAAATGAAGAAATAATGAATGACTACACGAGCATCCAAGTTTTATGCATTTATTTTTCTCACATTTTTGGGTGTAGGGGTGAGGTGTGTTAAACCCTCACCCCTAGCCCCTAAACATAAACCCATATCCCCCCCCGACTCAAAGTAATAATAACATTTTGGAGTTGGTATAGCACACAAAATGATTGAGGAAATATGGTGCATGTATTTCTAAAATATGAACCGACACGTCAATAATTTTGTATACAAAACAATGTGACAGTTCTATGGCCATGTCTGAAAATTGGTTGCAATGCTGAACTGATTCAAATGTAAATAATAACATTAGACATCCAAGTATTTACTTGCTTAGATGTCTTAACATGTACATGTACTAAATTGGTCCTTGATTCTGAATGATTTGCTTCGTTCTCTGCCTACGCGGGAAAAATGCAGTTAAGCAATAATCAAGGAAGGTATAAGTAATAGGCTTGCGGTAGCATTATGCGTAATAACTCTTTTGTGAGTATGTCTAGTCCAAGGAAGGTTCAAGGAAGGCTCAAAGACTAAGGCCTGGGTGACAGATAAGGCCAGTTGTAAATCATTTTGTAAAAATCAAACACAGAACATCTCTTGGGAATTGTCCAAACCATCTTATCAACCTTACTCATTCGACATGAAGAATCCACTCAATGTTTTAAAAACCCAAGATGAACATAAGAGTAACTGTCCTGAAAAGAAAAGAAAAAATCAAACACGTAACAGTCAACTCAAACATGTGCAAGTCATCAAGACTAACATGTATGAGCCACTGATACAAATTTTACTGTCTTCAGATTCATATTCACCTAAGCATTGTGCCTTACTCGGTTAATGCCTCAAGACATAAAACGAAATGCCTTGATAACTCTGTGCACATGGCATACTCCATGTAGTGTTTGCACAACAGAAATACTTGCCATGGATGCTAACGCTAAATGTAGGCCTACTACATCAGTATTTGTACACAAAGTAAATGGCAAGGTTGTAGCAAAATGCTCTAAAAACAAAGTGATTCCACTCGATGATAGAAGTTATCACGTGTACATGTATTTAATTAAATCTCTTGCTCCACCCCGCAAAGATTAGATACCTATCTTCAAATAAGTAACAACAATCACTGCCTCACCCATAAACCATTTATGTCGTGTCCAAAAGAAGGAAACTTTGGCGGCATTACAGCATGAACATGATAAATACATAAAAAGGTAGAACATTCCCCTCCACCAAGTACTGTACCCATCTTCCAAATTGAAATCTGACACCACTCAAAACAGGTGCATAGGGAAAAGAAGAAACATGTCACAGTAAGACCCTTTGCCTCCAGAGCCCTGGAGACGGTAAGAAGAGTAAGTAACTGCTCTCAAGCGGCATTTACTTGGGGATATTTATACCACATGAAAGCAAGATGAATAGGACTGCAAAGATGGTAAACTTTCGTTGTCACTCTCGGTGTATCAGCACAAACAATCCCAGTCCGGCTAAAACAATATACTGTAAATGAGAAGGAAAAGGAGAAGACAGACAAAGGGATCCAATTAATTTGAATCTTTTTTTCACACCATTTACTATATTATTTACCAGTTACTAAGGGATGTGCTTGGCTGGTCTTAAACGTGGGTTTAAGACTGGCTCACGAGACTGGACGCGACTAACACCCAAGCCACAGGCAAGGGCATTATCAGTGTTCCGTCTCCTGAGCCAAGACTGGCCAAGCACATATTTACCTCATTCATAAATACCTTTTTAGTCAGAGAGTCAAAAGAAGTCAATATAAGATGGATTTTAAACGATTTTTTTTCTTGAAATTTCTTTCATTTTCCTGAACACCCCCGGACATTTTATGATATATTCCTTACAAGTTGTCAAAAAGAAACTCCTTGTATGGACTTGGCGCACACATGGCGAGCTGGGTGCACGCAGACTCTTGACCAAGCAGAATCAATTACGAGTCTGGCATCCAGGTGCCAGCGGGCATCATCACTTCTCAGCGGGCATTATCAAGTGTTAATAAACAGTCAAGTTGCACATTGTTGAATTGGGAGACTGTTTGAGGGATTTATGAATATATCATAAGTTCTAAATTAGAAAAAAAAGATGAGACTCCACACCAGGCGCAACTGAATTTAATCCAACTAAAGCTGGTGATTGTGTTAGTGATCATGAAAACTGCAGTGGCCCATATGTGAATGTCAGTAAATTTTGTGAGTTTTAGTGGGTCAAGCAACTTAATCATACTTGAAAAGCCCCCCCCCCAAAAAAAAATCATTGAGGGGTTGTGTTGCCAAAAGGATAAACAATCTTTTCTTGGGGGGGATGAAGTCATGAGGTATATGTACATAAAAATTGTTTAAAGAAACCTAAGCAACGGTTTTCCTTTTCAGTTGAATTTTTAATTTTTTTTTAAAGATGCCATCTGCATTATTTACATTCGCTAACTACATCTTTATTTCAATCTTTGACTACACAAAGACTTGGGAATCAACCAGTACGGCAACTAACTAATGCAAATACATAGTACAAAACTGCATTTTTGCAATCAAAGCAAACAATAAAGGACTTTAAAATTGGGTGAATACACACATTCATTACAAATCAGAGAGGATTTATATATGCTTACCTTAAATTTAGGGTAATCGTTCATTAGAATGGTTACAATGCCCACATAGGGCACAAAGCCCCGGGCTCGACCAATCACATCTTTCCGTTGAAGCCACAACTGGCCTGGCGCGTACAGGCCTCGATCATCCACCATGTTGTTGTCACCTTTTGTGAGAAACTTCATCTCACTATTTTCTCTGTTAATAAGAGGGATACAAACAGAGAACACTTAGGGAAAAAAGTTAAGGACACATTTAAGAGAAAGGTGAAATGCTCTGAATGAGAAAGGTCTGTCAGTTGACAGTATTCTATTTCAGAAGCACAAAAACTTGGATTTTGAAGGCACGAACGTGTCGGGGAGAGATTTTGTGAAAAACTGCAAAATCAGAAAAAATGTTGCCCTGGTATTGTGCCTCTTTAAGTCCTTCAATCGTCTGTTGATTATTTTATAAATTTGTTTCACCAAGTGCACCTGCAGTATCCTCACTTGTTGATTTTTTTTTATGAAGTCACCATTATACATCATCTTTTCCATTCGCCGCCTCTTTTCCACTGGACTTTCAAACCACGAAAATTACCATGGATTTTTCAGACCTTCATCAACTGAAGGATCTCCAACAAAGAAACTTTATCTGCCGTTTTGATCATTCAAACTTTGAAGTGACACCTGATGAACTGTGTGTGACAAAAACAAAGTTCTCAATTAAAATTTTCCACTAAAAAGAATCTGGCAGGCTAAGACCTAAAATATTGTGTATTTTCAACCACTAAACAGCTTTGTTTAAATGCTCACTCTTGACTGCTTGGATAGTAGATGCATGGCACATGTACACAGCCGGCAGCTATGCTCAGTCCTTATGGTTGAGCAACCTACACCCTAGAAATTCAGCGGATTTCCACTGCATTAAAGTGGGAGTAACAATCCAAAAACATGCGCTGTCAACCTCAACTAGCATGAGTCCTGCATTTGCTTTCTTGCAAAATGCCAAAAAAAAATAATGTTACAGTTTCAGCAAAGCTGGTGCAAAATAGAAAATCCATCTATCTTAAACATATTTTACAAAAAATGTGGAATTCAAGAAAAATATGGACAAATCTCGACCCTAAAATGTCAACATATTTTATTGTTCACGTTCAGCTGAAGACAGTCACACTGCCAAAAATCCATTGTATCTAAGGGCTATCTGCTTTAAAAAAACATTATCTGCACATTGCTTCATATGTATAATAAACACAGGTTCTTGTTCTATGTAACTCTTAATATCAAATCCTCACAAACAGATCACTTCAACAAAACTGTACTGTTTGTTGATACTGAAAAATTGGAAAAGAAAACAATCGAAAAAAATCCTGACAGGCTGACAACAAAGGCTAAAGATGTGTTGGCTTTCAGATGTGTGCATATCAGAATGATACACTGCACTGACATATTTTTATTTTGAAGCAACAGTGACCAAGCCAGGATTTTCAATAGGAATGCATGCTATTATAGTCTAACTTTGTTTGGATTAAAAAAAAACAGCAGGAGCAGAAGAAACTGAGAGGGTTTCTTAAAAGGCTTTCTCACCGGTCACAATGTCAAGCGTACTCGAGATGGAGGTAATTTATCATACTGATGTGTATAAGAAACTGTCAGTGGCATGCCATAGTATAGAGGGCAAACAAGTTCACCATTAAAGGAAATGTCAAGGTTAAAGGGAACTGCCACATGTGATCTGGCGATGATGAGGAGTTCAGAGAAGGAAAATAAATAACCCCAAAATGAACATACAAACACCCCAACAACACAAAGCTATACATATGCAAAACAATGAAAAATAATTTCACTTACATCTGATAAATTAAATGATTGATTTTGGTTTCAATTTCCAGTTCAGTTCAAATTCATACAAACATTCAAAGTTCTGGCAACAACCTGTAATCTTTTCAAATGTGACTTCAGCATTTTCAGTGCTTCAAATACAGCTGGGACTAATTTCACTGACTACCATAACTAAAAATCTCTTCAGCGTTTTTTTTTCATAGAGGGCTAATGCAGAGTTTAATAGCTGCTGCTTCATAGCACGGAATGGAGACTATAAATCTAACCAAGGAATTCTGTTGTCAGTAGGATCATGGATACCTACAGAGGTGTAGTCAAGGCATTTCCTTGGGGGAGGGAGGGGTGTGCCTGAGTCAATTTGCCAACATGCAACTTGTTCGACAACCTTGTGTTGTGTAAAAATGCACCAAGTGTGGAAAATGGAAATGCCTGGTACGCTACATTTCATACTTCAGGGGAAATGGCGATTTTCAACATACATGTATATTGCTTAACCCTAACACTCCTCAATCCTTCACCTGTTGGAGGACTGAGGAGTGTTAGGGTTAATGCTTATGTACCAATTTTGGATTGGTTTGCCAACCGAGACTCTTTAACAACCCTCCTCTGGTCCCTACGCCTCTGGTCCCTACGCCCCTGGACCTCAACCCTACTTCAGAAATTGCAAGCAGTTCAAAACAAGTGTTGCATAAACAATTAACCTATTTGAGTGCCCTCTCCAAAAACTGAGAAATTTATCAGTTCCCCCCTTCCATCTCCCCCAGAAAATTGGGCCACAGTTGCAGCAAGTGCCACTGGCACGAGTGCTCTAATTGGTTACTTACTGTTCATGAAGCCTCAGCACCCTGTGGACGATGGGAATGTCCCGGCCTTCAATCTTGAAGACGACGATCTCTCCGACTCGGATGGGATCGTCCTGGTAGTTGGTAAGAAACAGCAGGTCCCCCCGATGGAAGGCTGGCTCCATACTACCGCTGGGAGAGTAGGGAAGAAACAAAACCCACAAAACGGGAATTTTGACTCTGTGAGTTTCTATTCTACATGCATCTAAAATGTACTGGGGGGAGGAGGTTTGTTTTGTTTTGTGTGCACAGCATGTACTTTCATTGCACTTGTTAAAGTGCTCGCATGATACTTGATCTGCATATTTCAAAACATTATACACTGGCAGGCAAAAGTCCTCACGCACCTACATGGTGTATTTTCACTCTCGATTTTTGTGTTGAAATAAAGAGACTGATCTAAAAACATCATGTGTTTAGTGTCACTATTTTAGTCAGTTTTAGTCATAATTCAAACACTCAAAATTTGTTAATTTGATGGTGATTTAGAACTGTGTTCGTGTCTCAGTTTTCACCCGTGTGAGAAAGTCATATTGAATACCCTCATTAATATTCATGAGCTAATGAATATATTAACTTGGGCATTTAAACCAAAGGGAAACAATTTTTGCGTGGCGGAAAACAGATTTTTATTAATATTTATGAGGATTGTGAATGAACAAATCAAAAGAATGGCAAGGGGAAATGCCAGGCCAGGTTTCCAGGGAAGATTTATTTGCACATGAAAGCTTCATCAGCGTAACAATGGAGAGGAAAAGTCCACTCACAAACCACAAAAAAGAGGTGCTGGTGCCTTTTTCCAAAGAGGGATACTCGGCCCGGGAAATTGCAAGAAGGCTGGGGGTAAGCGACTCCACTATGAGATACAATCTGAAGAAGTTGGAGGAACATGGCTCAATGAATACCCTGTCAAGATCTGGTCGACCGAGTGCAAACATGGAGCGAGATGACAACCACGTCGTCTGGACCTCCCGCAGCAATCAGTTCCTTACTGCCTCAGATGGCCGTCAATCTGGCCAGTTCATCGGGGGTCGAAGTACATCGCTGCACGGTATCCCGACATCTTAGGGAAGCTGGGCTCTTTGGCAGGGTTGCTAGGCACAAGCCCTGCCTTACAGATGGCCACAAGCAACACCGGTTAGTCTGGGCCTGTGAACATCTCAACTCTGACCAAGGCAGATGGGGCAAAGGTAATCTGGAGCGACAATTCCAGGTTCCAGCTCTTTCAATCTGACGGCAGGGTTTACTTCAGATGAACTGTTGGGGAGGAGTTCAGCAAGCTGCATGCAGGGCTCAAAATTAACGGGCGCAGATAGCTAAAATGTGCCTGTTTGTCTCAGAACGCCCGTAAATCATGAAGACGGGCGTTAGTACTAACACCTGTTTGATTCCATTAATGTAATGAAAAATATATGTACCTAAACATTTTCACCATTTGTTTCTACTTTTGTTATGAAAAATACCTGAACTTTTTGACTTCACTTTGGATCAACCTTGTCACGGAACCATAACATGGTACAATTTTTTAACGATGTCACCAAGCACAAGCCCACGGCTAGTGTCACGATCTCGCTGAATGGTCCGCACAGTGGCCATGTCTGAATCGATACGGCTGGAATTTACACACAATTGTATGGAAACTGGCCGCGACCACAACCTCCTAGACTCATGCCTAAATTAAAGCCAAACGAGTGGATTCGGCTTGGACTTCAGTTTGGCTGGTTCTAATCATACCTTGAACAAGTGGTTTTGAACACTGCTCCAACATAGCTGGAACCAGCGAAAAAGAAGTCTCAGCCTAATCCATTCATTTCGAAAATGCTCGATTGCTGCAGTTAGTTCCCTTTTACGTCTGAGTGCATATGCACGTGATAAAGGCCAGGTGCCTGACTGTTGACAACACGTCGCTAAGCACAAAAGCAACAGCAAGGACCAGGGTATTTGCTGTTTTTTCTTGAATATGTCTTTAATATTGTATGGGAGCTACTTGCTCCCATAAACTGACAAGTTCAGCTGTCTAGAGAGCAAGTACATGTACTTGCTCCCGTGATGATTAGCCCAATTTCGAGCCCAGTGCATAGCTCCGTCCATTAAGCGTGGGGAGTCAGGCATCATGGTTTGGGGTGTTTAAGGTCGTCTGGTGTTGGAAGCCTGTGTGGGTCAAGAATATTGACTCCCGTGTTTACATCGATATTCTTTGTGACCACATGCTGCCAGCTGCTCACCATTTGGTGGGTTATGAGTTCATTTTCCAGCACGACAGCGCTCTTGTTGCACACACAGCTCCTGTCACAAGGGAGTTCTTGGCTGATACAATGCCTGAATTTAGTCGGGAAATGGGGGGGGGAGCTGTCAATTCAAATTGATGGACTGGCCGGCCCAGAGTCCAAACCTGAACCCACTCTAGAATCTCTGGGATGGAATGGAGCGCTGACTCTGTCGGGAAAGTCACCCCAGAAACAAGGATGATTTCTTTGAGATTCTCAAGCAGATTTGAGAGGGAATGGACTGCTAGGTCATCACGAATCTCATCGGTTGTGATCGACGCCAAGGCATCTTTTAAACTGATCTGTCTTTCATGTTTTTCCAGTGGACCATGGGCGCCGCCATCTTTGATTTGTTAATGGAAAAAGATTTTCCGCATATGGAACGCTGTGACTCTGGTTTTCGTTGTTATTTCCCAGTTCAGAAAGAACTTTCTGCTAATGTAACGTGAATTTAATTTAACAAAGACAACAATTCACACACAGGTATGGGTAAAATCATTTATTTTTATTAATTTCTAGTCGCATTAACGAAATGAATATCACTCATGTAGGTGTGCAAAGACCTTTTGCATGCCAGTGTATGGGTATATCAATTATTCAGCACCATGAGAAAGATAAACAGAATTGACACATGTAACTTGTGACTGATGTCTTCACATGCAGTGAAAAAAACTCACCTCAAAACAACCACTATGGGGCTCTCACTGCCCATAACTACCATCAGACCTTTCCAAATCATCAGCGCCGATGAAACAATCATTCCGAAGTTTAGCACCTGGTAGAACAGCTGCAAAAGTAATAGAAGGAAAAAACCTACTGTACTTTGTCATGTCCTTGCAAAAAAAGCTAATGCGAATGTATTTTTCACCTGAAATCCTTCATATGCATCAATTTTACTATATTTTATTGTCAGCACTTTTTTCTTCACAAAAGTATGGTGACTGAAACAAGTTGTAGATCACATCACATTTCTACATGTACCTCCATGATCACATTGACGTGTACATGTCCAAATCTCTGTAGGCCTACACCCACCTGTGTTCTGAATTTCCATGCTCATTCAGGCCTAACAGTAACATGTCACTGCAAAATTTGTTTTCTTTCTCTTGAATCCAAACACCTTCATGAAGACCAAATTTAGAAGGAAACAAATGCTTGCTTTTGCACTGGAACGAACTGGACAGTCACTGATCACTTTTGACAGTTCAAGATCACACAAAGCATGATTTCTCATGCACAGGTGCAATTAGAGGTGTACTGTCATGACTCTACATGTACATCAACAGGATAAGCACAGGGCACATGCAGGCATGGCAGGGGGACCATCCAAGATGTATGCAGGATCATGAAGATATTCCTCAGCAGCTCAGACAGCAAGGAAGTTTAGGGGGTGGGGTAAAATCACAACAGCTCAACTTGTTTTCAAAAATATATGTATTACTTTAATGTGTACGTAACACGATTTTAAGATAACTACTTCAGTATGAAAAATGCTAATCAACCGATCGCGCCCAACACGCTTCTTCCATTGATCATTTTTTTGTCCATGCTTGTTGTTAATGCCAAAAATATCATGCCAAATCGAAACAAACCTGACGCTTGTTCATTCGCCGAACCTCGTCTAAAAACTCAAAATTTAACATTGCAGTCGTCAGAGTCTACAGTGACTTCCTCATGAACGAAAAAATACTTGAAATGAGAGCGTCACTGAAGCAGAAGGCTGTGTCGCTTGGCCTACCCTGCTAGTACTACCGTACCATGCGGGCGCGTGCAGCATCAATGACAATGTTACGCCCCAACTATAGCATTAGTCCCAACTATAGTTGGGCCGTCTCATTTAGAGTGCCACAGTTGGGCCGACCTAACTACAGCATGCAGCGCCTGTGTGCATGATGTGCCCAGCATGTGCCAAAGTCATATCGTTACAAATGTCATGTCATCGCTCATATGGCTGAATGAACAGATAAATTGCCACATGTTAGATGAATTTTGTCAAGTGGGAGACACATTGACTTGGATAATGTTGAGACATTTCCCACAGACATGAGTCAACAATAGTTAGGCCAGACCAACTGCAGCACTGCAGTTGGGACTGTCCCAATTATAGTTGGGACTTAAGCTATAGATGGGGCGTAACAACAATCAAAGATAGTACACGTAGGCGCAGGGCAGTATCACAACCGGAAAAGGTGCTTCACCATTTGGCTCACGGGTCATATGGCGTCACCGTGAAATATGAATAATGCAGTACTGCTCTTTCGGCAATAATTCAAGTTCCATACTGGAAATGGGCAAATCTGTAATCAAAATAGGAGACACTTGAAAGTGTACAACAAGCCCATCACGGGGGGGGGGAGTTGGCCCCCCATCAATATATCTTTCGAAATAACTGTACCTGGCCGAGTCGTAGGGAAATTAAAAGAGGAGGGCTTGTACGTGTGGAGCCCTGTAGAATGTACATGTACATAGGGATGTATGAATTTTTCAATTTCATCCAAGAAGGGATAGGAACCACTCCGCACAACATGTAGGCCTACCTGAACTTATGAGGACTATTGACAACACGAGACCCCGTGCTGGCTGAAAAAAAAAACAACCTTTCTTTTAAAAAAACACCGTTTGGATTGGATGAGGGCGCTGCGCGAGTAAGCTGTGCGGTGTTGTCAAGACAATCTGTGATACGTTAAAACAGACTTCAACCCAGTTGTTACAAGTTAAAGGAAAAGGGTTCACTAACCATTTCTCAATCGTGTGATTCTTGGGAAAAATCTTTTTCTTTAATGTTTTAATAAGTTTGGAAAACAGCTCTCGGTGTTTTTTTCCAAATTATGAATATCTTTACTTGCATTTTACGAATCAGTTATAAGACGTGTGAAAGTAGGCTAACACCCGCCAAGGTGTTTGAGGATAACTTTGTTTTTTTTTAATTTGTTACAAGGCCTATATATTACGAACACGCCGACCCCAAATACTACACTCTTAAAATAGACACTTTATGAAAATTTCAATTCTTTGGTTCAACTCAGGATTCTTTTCTTTTACAATTTGTGAATAACAAAATTTCCATTTGTTCAATGACCAAGTAATTTTTATTGAGAAAAGGGCACGCAGAAATGCCACGTGTTACAAGTAGACACCCAGTAATTTAATCCTCCAAACCTAAATAAATTGGTTGAACGTAAAAAAGGATTGTTTTCATCTCATTTTTGTTTGTTCTGTCCTCGGACGCTACCCAGTTGTTTTTTATTATAATTTTCAACCATTATTCTTTTCACGCATTACTATTTCTATGTATTATTTTCATGTCATCCTAAACATGAAGATTGCTGGCCTAAAAACGGAAAGAAAATCGCCATAGTAGGGGCTTTCATCTGAGCTGAGACTTTGCATTGGGAAATGAATTCATAGAGGGTCTATAAAATGACCGGGGTAATAAAGCTTTGAACAAGAGCTTTGTACTTTAATGTCAACGAAATTATGTCTTATGTCAAAAGTATGTCATATCTCTGGCGTGGAGTTAAGCCATCATTTTATAGACGTAGGAAATGTAGATGATAAACAATGATAAAATCGTTTCCAGCTTCATTGCAAACCCACCAGTGGCAAACCCAGCTCGTAGGGGCTTACGTCCAAAAGAAGGAAGTGAAATTTGTCTAAAAGAGAGTCAACATTTTTATCAGTGAAACAAAAATGCTACTTTCCCCTCCCCAAAAGAAAGATGGTAGGCCTAATACCATTCGAAAGATACCGGAGCTTTCAGGTCCTAAAGTGAATAAATTAAAAAAAAAACCTAACTACCTTCCTCAAAATATATCCCCACCGCACCACTTCCTCTTCAGGTATATGTGCATTCCATCCCAATCGCTCGCGGAATAAAGTGCCACTTATTGCAGCTCCCAATCTATACACCATCGTACTTGGAGGCCCCCAATCGAACCTGGCTACGCCTGACCAAAGGCTGATCTGACCTTGCAACACCTGCACACGCCGCCATGCCCGGAGAAGTAACATGTTACATGGATTGCACAACAACCGAGGCATTTAGCGTCACTCTGCCATGCATGGGTCATTCACTGATAATCCTCAGTTTAGATACGGAGATTGATGAGATTAAGATGTGCTTCTTGTGTACATTGTGTATTATTTTACATATTTTGTTGCAGAAGTATTGAAATACTTCATTTTATTCTCATATTCCAAAATAAAAAGTTAACCTCGCTTTCAATTCAATATGGCCAACTTTTAACGCTAATTGGCAGGTTTGGCTTTTTGTACACGATTGGAATTACTACCCTTGAGTGTTTTAACAGGGATGTTTAATTTTATTACTCAGAAGGTACGTGTTGAATAGAATTTGGTTATAATAGATATAATGTAAAAAATTTAATTTCACAGAATTGTTTGATATAAGAATAACTGTTTTCCCTGCATTAATTTTCAGAGCTTTCAGGTAGTGACAATAAAATAGGAATTGAACCGCGAAACTCATGATTCTTTCCCAAAAGACATTTTGATTAACTGTTTTTCGTTTTAAGTTATTCTGATGAAAAATGTTCCAAACTAAAAAGTAACCACGGTTAAAACAGCCACCTGAGATCCAAGTAGGAACATACGAAATACGTCCACTTAAAAGCCAGCAGTACCGGTGTCAGTTATCCATTTGGTGTCACTTTTATCCCTACAATCATAACTTTCAACATGCACGGCCCACTCTGCGACACTGAAATAAACATTATTTACTACACCTGAAATATGCTTAATTACTGATAACTCAGTCCCGAGACTGTGGGGTTCCTCGTCCGTCGCGCTCCCACGATGACAGACGACGAACCCAGGAGTTCTGGGGATAATTTTGAATCTGATTTTGTCCTCTTTATTGAATATCAATTAAATTGCTTTTTGGCCCTATAACTTTGATTCTTTGTTAAATACTTAACTTTTCCCTGACTCACATAAGTTAATCTGAGAACTAATAAAACAAAAAATATTTGGGGACACAGCGACGGAAGTACAATTTCATGTAACATAATCACATTGTTTTAGTCAGTATATGTTTACCTGAGAAGACTTAATTTTGACTTGTCATTTTTCCTTTCAGGAAGATTCTGGTAGGAAATGTCAATATACCGGTAATAACGATATAAATGATCTTTATCATGATTATGGTGTACTATTTACGACACGTTTCCGTCATGATCAAACGCACGAAGTTGAATCAAACGAAGACTCATACCATATATGTGAAGCAAGGTAGGCCTACATGAAATGACAAGTAGGCCTACATGGAAACATTAAAATTGTAATTGTTAAATTTTATTTTATTGTATTTTATTTTATTATATACATATCAAGTTCTTCACGGTGCCTGAATCCAATTCATATCAATATTCTTTCTAAATATTTGTAAATCACACTTCAGAACCTCCATCAGGACCATCTTGACTCTTGACTCAGATCCAACTGTTCGGAAACTATCGAAACTTGTGCAGCGAGATAGAAAAAGCCTCCTTAACCTTCCGTCTGTTATTCATAACAGAAGAAACTAGAAGGCGTGACATTTGGGCCAAACAACAACGTAGTCACAGACGTTCCAGTCATCCTATAACTTAGCTTCCATGCCACCAACCCCTCCACCGTTGTCAACTTTTCCTCTTCATCCACAGTTCATGCTTCTCTCAAAGGGTCTAAATTTCTGTCCAACTCCCCCCCCCCTGAGTCAGTCAGGAAGAATTCAGTCAAGATCCCACCGGGTGCTTCCGCAGGAACGAAGTAGTGAGTTTTTCTTTGATTCTGCTCCATGTGACCAGGAGCCTCGAGTCAAAAGCACTTGGGTCACTCCCAAGAATCGTGTATATGCCTTCGAGACCTATGTACAGGCCTTTAATTCATGTCACAAGTGAATCATCCTGATCATTTTCATCTCAGTTCTCATAATCTCTCTCCAGGCACTGACATGGCTCCCTCCTTTGCTTGCCCTTCATGGGTGACCTTGAAGAGCTCATGCTTCCTGAAGCACCATGCCGCCCTTGTATGTGGAGGAGATACATTTATGATGCAGTTTGAATCTGGGCTAGCGACAACGATGGTCTGGATATTTTCATTGACCACATCCATTCTTTCAACATGACCATCAAGTTCACTTCGGAATATTCTCTTCATCTGGCAAGCTTTATCGTCGTCAGTATCCGAAAGTACAACAACTGTTTGACTACTGAACTGTATTCCAAGCTCTTTAACTTAATAACCTTTGAGTTTTTGCTCTTTAGTCTCTTACAGAATCAAATTATCTTCCTCTAAAAATCCATTACCAGTAATACACAGAACACGCATGTGCCGACCGAAATAATAAAATTATTCACCTTCAACCTCTTTAGAGAAGTGACAATAAAATAACCCTTAAGAATTGGAAATGTTTCCACATACTGACATTCAGAAATGGAGAGATACATTTGTTTAGGCAAGTCAGCCGGCTGCAGTCATGTCAGTGAGCTAAGTCAACGCTATTAATTTACAAATACATAGCAATACAGAGCAATAAGTCGTTCTTGTCAAACGCATTTATAAACTCATCCACTTTCAACTGACGCAAAATATCATCCATTTTAATTACCTCCCCCCCCCAAATAAAAAAACCTCGAGAAAGAGGGATTACCACCATTTCAATAACTAACGGCTAAGCGCTTTCGCTTTGAACTTAGTTGTGCGCCCTCATGCGAAACTAAGGAACGACCTCTATCAAAACGCGACGCAACGGCACGATACGACTATGCGGGGTGCACCACTACAAATAAATTCCTATGGACTGCAATGATAAATCCCCACACTTTTCAATAATTTTAAAAATACTCACAACTCTCACAGGTGTCCAGGCTGCACAGAAATACGATGATCGACATGCCCCCTTTCATTTT